TAAGAGTTTTGCTTCAAAGGTCTATTGTGTGGCTTCTGGCAACAAATTAAATACCAGTGAGGTTTGGCTCTTAATTTAGAATTAATTTTAAAACATCACTCACTATATGAGACCTAAATGAAAGCCTATGGTCACTGGAAGCATTCCCAAGGATTTCACTGGGCTTTGGATGAGGGTCTCAATCCACAAATATCTGTTTGTTTTTCTTTATTGTATTTAATCTTGGATGGGAAGACAAGAATTATTATTTCAGAATAATTTTGTGGTTTTTAACTTCTTATTTCTTCAGGCTAGTACTGAGTGGAGGACAAAGAAATGTTGTAAAGAAAATCATCAGTCACTGAGAGTGAAATGGGGGGGGTGTATTTTTGCTTTTCTAGCTTGGACTTACTGTACTGTAAACCATCATAGCACTGCAGGTCTCTGAGCTGCCAGATTTCTGATTTTTTTTTTCCTATTTTTTTTCTGTTTTTCTAGTTTTATTTTGAATGTCAAATATAAGTGGGGATACAAAAAAAAAAAAAAAAGCAGAACTTGCATCAAAGTTCTGTTTACAAAACAAAACCTGTGCTTAGTTTTCTTAGCTGGCAATGAACAGCCCCCTGGCTCTCTTGGGGAACATGAACATGGAGGATCATGATCATAACTCTTGAGTTTTCAGACAAACATTTTCCTCTAGTTCCTGAGGTTCTTCTACTTTCAGTCTTTGGGAATATTACAAGTTTTTTGTCTTTGGTCATAAAGAGCTTCTCATCCTGTCTCCAGAAACAGTTGCTGCCCACAGAGCCTTTCTCTTATTACTTCTTGTTAATAGCACTAGAAGAGGCTACTCTTTCTCCAGTTAAAAGGAGGATTTTTGGCAAGGGCAGAAAAGATCCTTAAAGTCTCCCTTAACCCATGCTTCTTATCAGCTTCTGTAGATGGGATGGAGCAAATCTTCCTTTTCTCCTGGAATAGTTCCATATTAGGTCCCAGGACAAGTGTTTGCCCTTCTGGCTTCATGGAATAGCTGAGAGAAGTATAACTGACTGTAGGGTGGAGTTTATTACATTCCAAGATTTTGGGGATCAAGAACAATTTGCCTCTTTCTGACACAAGAAGGAAATAAAAACGGAAAGCAAATGAGAAGACAGAAGGGCACAGCACTCCAATTTCCTCAAAAAGCCATTGGGATGCAATAAACCAGGCATCACTCCTAGGAGACAACACAAGGGAATGTGAAAATGTAGATCTGAAGGATAGAGAACACCTGTGGGAGGATGTGAGAAACAGAACAGGCATGTGGTGTGTAAGTGCAGGATTCATGGGCTTTTCCACTCTGCAAAAATGTCACTCACTTAACTGCAAGTCTGAGCTGAGTGGCACAGAGAAAGGAAGAGGCTGTGTGGTTTCCTGGAGAAACTAGGACCAAAAAGTTACAGGTCTGTGCTTTATTCATATGTCTTGGCTTTGTTTTTCTAGGAAGAGCTCACAGCTTGGCTTCTTGTGTGTGCTGCTGCTTTCTGAATAAACCCTGTTTAAATGGGAGTGTGAATAAGGTTTTGTGCTGAATTACCTGCTGCTTACCTGGCCTTTTCTCTTGCTTAAGTGGAACCAAGCTCTTGTGCAATTTGCTTAATTTCTTCATTTGACCCTCAGATTTAGCACACTGTTGGAATTAGATTCAGTAAGATGGTTATGATTCATGTTGTGATCCATGAGGGGGAAAAAAAAATGAAGGTAGCCTCCTTAGGAAAGCATACATGTGGATAAAACTGTTCATGGAAAACCTGACTGATAGCTCCACCACTGCTTTGATTGCTATACTATCCCAAAAGCATCCTCTCTACTAACTTAAGCATTTTCTTCTTGCAGGCTTAATCCTTCATCTGTCAGTAAGGCCAGTGGAAACAAATTGTTCCATTGGCATCAGGCTGATGGCTCTCCAGGATAATCATTCTGTCTCTCCAGCTGCCAATTCACTTGCAGCTTTAGTCATTGAGACTGAATTGAAAGTCACAGCTCAGTCTTCAATTTCCATGAAACTTGTAGGAACTTTATTTCTTTGAGCCCTGCATCCTTCAGGTTTGAAACTGGCCATTAAGCTTAAAAAGGTGTTGAGTATGGGAATGACAGATGGACAGAGGTCAGGATCTCATAAGCTTAATTTCCTTTAGAAATGGGCACCTGAAAACTCTCAAGGACCAATTCTAAGAAAAGCAACAGCTCTGAGTGCTCTGAAACCAAAGTAGGCATTTGGAAATGGAACAGGGTTTTGTGGTCACTATCTTATTAGTGAAATTAGATTATCCCTAGTTTTTCCAAGTAAACATCTAGCCTTCCTTAAAGGAAGATTTAGATAGTACAAGAAATAGAGTGATTATAGGAAAAAATATTTTCCTTGCACAGAAAACCAACTTTTCATGCCATCTTTGCAGTACAAGTGAAAGGTTGAAGTTGGTAAGATAGTAGTCACTAGCAAAGAGAGCAAGAGTTGAGAGGAAGAATGGAGAAAGGCACGCTGAAAAAACAAGCCATGGAAGGAAATTAAATCAGATTGGTGACTACACAAGAAGGCATATATTAAGGAATTACAGATTTTTATGTGCATCTGCTGAGTAAAGCTGTCGTGCAATTTTCTGAACAGCAAGAAGAATAAACAATGCTTCTGTATAAGTGTATTTCTTACTGATTAAAGACTGGTATGGAGTGTGGCTAGAATGAGTCAAACAGGATGTTTACAAGGCACTTAGATAAAAATGAATAAAATGATGAAGCAAGAAACATAGTGTCATGAATTCTAAAAACAGTCTCTTTCCTGGGTAACATTTTGCCCTCCTCAATTACTAATCCTTAGAAAGAGCTGCCACGGGCAGCATTTGCAGACAACCAGGTGAAAGGGAATGCCAAGAGGCAGATCCTTGTCCCTATGGACAGAGTAACCCTGGCACAGTATGATCTCTGGCATAGCTGCCTCAAAACCAGCAGAGGGTATGGCAGATAGGATTGGGGCTGAAAATCCGGAGTTAATTTCTTCTCAATGCTCCCTTCACAAACCAACAGAAAAAATAGTGCAGGAGAAGTACTGCAGCTGGATCCCAAACACCAATCAATATCAGAGTTGTGCTTCTAATGGTGTTTTGTATTAGAGTTTATTAACTATTCTGTTATCACTGCACGAAATCTCTTCCTTCAAACTCACCAATCTGGCTTGTGTATTTTTAATGAGTATTGGCACAATTCTTCACAGAACTGTGGGAGCTGATGGAGATTTACCAGATGGATTAGCCTTCCGGGACTCCCACAACAATATGTGTGCTATTTTGATCTATTTTGATCTCAAATAGATTGGTGTGTCTTTAAAATGAGCTAGCAAATTTCTGTGCTAATTAAACTAAATTGAACGATGCACAGGAATTGATGTTACTAAATCTGTGTATGAAGGCCCAGTTCTGAGAACCTTCAGAACTTGACTACTCAGCCTCTGCCTCTAAAAATACTGCATTGCAAAGCTGTTTTCTTACCCAAAAGACATTACCTGAGCCAATGCTGGGATTGCTTTTGGGCTCACAGCCTGAAATACTCTTCTTCTTGATCCATGCATCTGGGGAGCTCATGCCAGGGCAGAGAAGTTGAACTGAACAGAACATACACAGAACTTTCTAAGTTCCCAGATTTTTAGTGGTTTAAAATGGAAAAAAAAAAAATTTTTTTTTTTTTAAAAAAAAATCTGGATTTCCATACCTTCAGGACCACTGATACCCTTATCATTGCTATTCATTATGCCAGGAGCAAGTGGTTAAGTATGAGAAACTATAACCTCTTCAGAATTCTTTTTTCATACAAAATCAAACTCCTATGCCAGTTATTTTTGTCAGTCATCTTTTTAATTGTTTATCAGTCCTTCTTTTCAGTAAAAAGTGATCAGTGAGGCTCGAAGTTTTGTTCAGCTGCTCAGCCTCAGTGTTTTGTGTGGTTCTGTGGTGCTCTATGTTCTTTTAGATAAAGTTCTTTGTCAACACAGTGGATGCTGTGACTAATTTGGCTAATTCAGGAAGAAAGGATTATGCTTGGATTCTGTGCTGCTGTTTTGAGTCTCAGTAAAAAATTACAATAAATGTGTAGTCTGCATTAGACAGCTGGGTGGGATGATACCTTCTGGCCTCCAAATCAATGGGATCTTTTTGTTCCTGTGTGCTTTATGCTTAACTTCTGAGCCATTCTCTAACATCTTGTACATGATTCTAGATGCAGAGCACCCCATACTTCATTGTTTATGAGTGGGTGTCCTGGATAAATGGGGAAGCACCTAGTGGGGCTTTCACACAGCGCTGTAGAGATGTTAATGGGACACTGCAGTATTGCCAAGGTTTTCCAATTTAGACAATTCTCATGGTAGTTAACTTTTTTGGTATAGTTTCATATTGTTTTAAAGAGTGACATTTATTATTTCTGAAAAAAGAGGAACTTTTATAGTCGTCCTCATTACAGAATGACACTTGGAAAAGTAATTGGTGCAGCTGAATACCATCTCCCCCTCCATTACCCATCCCAGAAAACAATGAAAAACCCCCATTAGGTTTAAAACACTAAGTCATCTAAGGTTTTTCATAGGGTCTGGTTATGATTCTCTTTGCTCAGGATAAGAAACCCCAAAACTCACAAGTCTTCTGATTGCCCAGCCCAAGTGCACATAGAGCTATGACCTCACTCCATCCGTGCGAGTTGTGTTCCAGCCCTCCCTCTGCCCTGCTCTTCAGGGAAAGGGAATCTCCTTGGCCATCCAGGAGCTAGTGAAGTCTTCCCTGACATGCAGGGTCCAGGACTTGGAGGTCTGCTGTCGTCCAGGAACAGCCTCCAGCTCCTGTATTTAAATAGTAAAAAAAAGTTTTCCCCAAAATTCAGCTAATAGGTACTGATGAAGTAAACACAGAAGGAGAGGACAGGAAGCTGCCCCAGGAAGAGCTCAACTCTCAGTCCTAATCACTATGGCTGTTATTACTGGTAGAGATCACACTTGATTTCCCCCCAGCTTTACACTGTTGTTTGGCTGAATTTGCTCCCTCCAGGAAAATGTGTTTCTGAACAGAAGTCAGTACACAATATAGGGATACTCATGGTCTCAAGAAGGTGAAGCTTCTACAAGCCACACTACTCAGGAAAGGAGGAGAAGCAGCAGCTGCTGAGAAAACTGCTGAGAGCAGGACAGGCAGTGCCTCGCTACGAGGAGAGGGCCAGCATGAGGACAGGAAAGAACCCGGAGGTTTTCAGAGAAGGGTAAGAGGAAGTCTTGACGTTTGGAGTAGGAATCCTTCCTCAGCATGGGCTGTGAGCTGCAAAGGACTGACTGTTCCACATGTGTCTGCATGTGCAGTAATGAAAAATGCAGGTTTACATGGTCTGCCTTGTGAGATGAGCAATTTAGATACTATGTCACCACTCCTCTTATCAGAGAACATAAGGTTTCAGCAATTTCCATTACTATTTTTATCCTTTAATTGTGTGCAAATACACAAGGATTTTAGCAACAGCACAGTCATGTTTAAGATGCTTGGAAGGCCAGAGAGCAAGATACCTTATTTTCACCAGTTCATGTAATGTAATTTTTACAAGTGGACCATATTGCTCCTACAGAATCAGAGCAAGTTTTTTCTAAAGACATTTTCTTAAAGGATTGAATAGTTTCAGTTGTTGGAAAAAGGTGCTTAGATGCTGGATTAGGAATTTGCAGGATCAAAGTAGCAGTTAAAATGCCAGGGAACTCATCCAAATCACAGCATAGCTGATATTCTTTAGGGAATACTGGACTGTTTTGTATACAGCACTCTTGGGCCCAAGTAACTTAAAACCTGAAGAATTGAAACGATTAAAAATATTGGGTCATATCTTTGAGGGTGTTGAGTGCCCACAACTCATGTAGGACTGAATACTCTGACACTGTGGCCCTTTATGCCACAATGGTGATGCCAAAGGCATTTAGCAAATGCCACAGGAGGCCCCTCTGCAGCACTGGCCATAGCGAAGTCACTTGGGTGCAATTGGGCACTCAGCCCATTCTCCTGGCGGCTCTCGGCATCTCTCAGGAGCAGGCTGACAGAGGAGGGGTTCTGGCAAGGAACTTCAATTATTTGAGATCTCAGTTACACAGAGAATGTAGGGGGTGGATTTGGCTGTGGGCTTGGTTATTCTTTTTAACCTGTGAGAAGCTATGGGGATTGCTGCTGGACTGGTCTCCTTGAGATCCAGAGTACAAATGCAGGGCATAAAATTTTTTCTGTCCCAGCTCCAGTTCCAGCACTCAGACTGAGGTTAGTGAGGTGAGGAACTCACCTACAGCTTTGTTGTGCTGAAAGGTGCATCTGCCTGACTCCTGTCCTCCCCTGGGCTCTAGATGGGGAACAGTAAAGATAACAATGGAGTAGGCTTCTCCTTCCTCAACACTTAATAACTGATAGGGAAGCTGATTTTCTTTATCCAGATGCACAGCTGGAGCTGGAAAAGATGCCAGAGAACTGAAATGTTTGACCCATCCCTGCAAGTGTTCAAGGCCAGACTGGCTGGAGGTCTGAGCAACCTGTTCTAGTGGCAGGTGGCAGGGGGGTTGGCATTGGGAGATCTTCAAGGAACTTTCTAACCCAAGCCATTCAATGATTATATGATTTTCCTATCTTTTGCCTGGAGTACTAAAGTTTCTGTTTAAAAACCTTTCTGAAAATTGCTCGTCTTTGGTGAAAGTTTATGAAGGGCAAAAGTGTGAAAATTATATGGCCCATTTTATTTAAAGGACAAATTTTAATTAATTAAAAGGAGTGAGCTCTTTTTCAGTATTTTCTTTGAGAAAACAAATTTTTGTTTTAACAATACAAAAAAGCCCCTGGTTCAGCCACAACAAGAAAATGTTCCCTCAAGAAAACGTGAGGGGTTTTTTTTCCCTCAATTGTACTAAGAGTGTGTGAAACACATCTGCCCATGAGTGCAAAAGTGCAGCAGATTCTTTCAACAAGATGTATATGAAATAGCTTAGGTAGCTAGAATGCAAGAACCTGGCCCAGAAAACCCAGTGATACCCCTCTGACTGCTGCAGACACACCCTGGCATCGTGAGCAGCCACGACTGGCAAGGGCTTGAGCCCACATATTGTCCATACAACACATCCTGCTGCTGCTGCTGGAGTGCTGGGAGGGCTCGCACTCCCTGCCACAAGACCTCATGTTTTCCAGCCTGGAGTGCTACGGGCACATAAGGGGTGACCCATTCAGAGAACTGGGTGGCTGCAGGCCAGACATATAACCTTGACTACAATGCCCTTTCCGGAGACTGATTGTGGTTTTCTTATTATCTAATGAGCTTGTCATTTCCTGTGCTAGTTGTAACAGAGCTGAATATTTTCTAGGTTACCTAACAAAGCTCCTGCAGAATCACACTGCCTATGCCTGCGACGGGCAGCACCTGAGCCTGCACTGCCCTCGGCACTCAACCATCAGCGTTCAGTCAGCATATTATGGGCAGGACCCCCACATGTGCAGTGCTTGGGAGCCTGAAACCAGGATGACAGAACCCAGGAACTGCGTGGCACCCACCTCTTTGCAGGTACCGCATGTTGAAAAGGTTCTTAAGGTACAGAATGTTTTTGTTGGTTTCCCTGCCGTTTCTGTGCAAGTGCTCTCATCCTTGAATGAGACAGCACTGTACCTATGGCTGTTTACCACCAGAAGTGTTATTGCTGGAAGGGCTTGTCTGGACAGCAGGGCATTACCGTGGGCTTGTGAGAGCTTTGAAGATTGCCTTCCATTGTGATGAACCTTGCTTTGGAAACCCCATTCTTAAAGCTTCCTAGAATAGTCTACTCCTTTCCATTCAAGGGCTGGTCGTGACTCAGTTGACCAGTTTAAATCTATCACACAGGCCCTCCTTGACCCCAGGGGAGGACACAAGCTCTGGACAGAGTGGGGGTAAAAATCCAGTGAATGACATCCTGGTTGGCATTTGGCTTGTTGCATGCCTGTCTTCCCTCATTGAAAAGTCACAGCAACAGCTAAACAGCAAATCCCAAGGATTTCTGCAGATACCTGCATTTCTGTGACTACCTGATTTGTATCAGAAACATCCTACAGTTGTTTGTTGGGCCTGCTTCAGTATAGCTTAAAATTATTTATACTTCATTAATTAATACTTTCTGCTATAGAGATTTTTGTAACAAGGTCTGACTTATACTGCTGTCAAAGATTTGTGTCATCTTAGTGAAAAATACCCAGTGTTGTTCCAAATTCAGTATATCATTGCAAAAATAAGTAGTTGGTGGAATCTGAGCATGTTCTGTTGATTAAACTTGAAAATGCTCTACAGAAGTTTTGATGGAGTTTGCAACATTTGTGTCTGTAGACCACATGTTCCTTCTTGACATCAGAGAATGTCTGTTCCCATCACTACTGAGTTGAAGGGTATTATGAAGTGATTTGTCAGTAATATTCTCTCTCTAGAAACAGCATTAGGGCAGTTTTTAAAGTGTGGCTTGCCCAGGATGTACTGCAATTTTTGAGGACATTCCAGACATGACCTATGGGCCATGTGAAAGTACATCCCTCCACCAAAAACCGCAGGCAAAATGCATCCTTAATGTTATATTACTGACTGCAGCAAAGTGGCACCAATGATTATTTTGGGCTCGTGAGTGCCTTTGTGAGGTCTCCATGAGCAGTTTTTTCCCTTGAATATAATAAACACAACATGGGGTAACTTTTGTAAACTACCATCATCTTTTGGGCACTGTGGCTGATCAAAGGCATGAAAGCATTTTGGCAAGGCCATGAATTTGTGTGAGACACAAATGCTCTGCATCTCAGGGAGTTCCAGTTCTGTTAAGGAGAAGAGACACACTTTGTAAACAGATTTCTTAGAAAAGAGCACCAGTGACCTCAACCCTCCTCCCCTTCCCTTTGGAAGTGGATCTGCAGTCTGCACAGGCAGGTGAAAAATGATGCCCTGTAGCTGGGTGGAAGCATCACAGACACTTATTACAGAGACCTCCTGTCAGAGGGATCACTGCAAAGCTGGATCTGCTTAGAGACAGTAACTGCCCAGTGCTATTTTGAGTATCGTTTGCTTTTGTGGCTGTGTGCTTTTGCGGCTGTGTGCTTTTGCACAGCATCATGATAGAAAATGTGACTGCTGTTTACATTAGGCAGGAAAAAATATAAACAGATGCACAGGAGATGATTCAGGTCAGGTGCAAACAGAAGGTGACTCAGTAGGGAACAGCTATCTCTATTTACTAAAGATGGAACTCTATTTCACCGGTCCCCTCCAGAACTATCCCAGTTAGGGAGGAGTTATTTGGTTGACTTGCAACTCTGTAAAAGGAAAATTGACAGATAAAATTAAGTCTGCTGTGCTTTCTTTCTCTTTTAAACTCTTTAGAGTGCACTTAATGCTCAAAAAGTGTTGAATGCATGTCCTCTTCTTCTCCCAATGGGAGCTGTAGGATCACTGCAGTGTGCTGCCAATGTGTGTCATTGCTGCTTGGGAGGGAAGGTTTCCAGTGATGACAGCAGAGATCCAGCCACTGCCAACTCTCTCAGCCGGGAAACAGGAATGCAGCTTGTGCCACCACAGTGGTAAATTTGTGATTTGGTCTCTTGATATGACTGAGACCTCTTCTGATGAGAAACAAAGTAAAAACTCCCATAGATTTTGAAGGACCACCTAAAACGATCAGAATGTTTTATTACAGTTATTCCTGTTAAGAGTGGGGTGACCTGGTGATAACACCCTCCTTTGTCACAGCCTGCTGTGATTTTAAACATGAATCCCATGTACAACCACACAGACTATCTAAAAACAGTGTCAGAAAAGCCCTCTCTTAACTGAGTTTTGGAGGTGAATAAGAATATTCTAAATACACTGCTGCATTTAAACTGGGTGTTTTTAGGTCGTCTGGCTTGTGACTGTGTTAAAAACTGGACAGACTGGCCCTGGCAATGTCTTCATATTTTCTGCAGCTACAGTTCCAAGAGCACAGCTGGAGTGGGAGCACCAGTATGAGCAGTATGAGCACTCAGTCCTTTTGCCAGACTGGGAGAGAGTCCACACGACCCTTTGTGTCTAACACTGCTGACCTGTTGGCTGTCTTCCTCTGTTGCCACTTCCAGGGAAGCTGCACAGTAAGAACCAGGATATATGGCTGGGCCAATAAATTTGGAAGAGATATGGCCTTAGAACAGCATTAAAAGACACCCCACAAAACAAGACAAGGAGGCTGAGGATAGACTTGCATATCTGTGCTATCCAATCAAACCAATTCTGAAATTTGCCCATGGCAAGTCAAGTAAATATCTAATAATGTGTGCAACTGCAAGCGAGAAGGAAGTGTCACTTGAGCAGGAGGTCCTACACATGGCTTAAAGTGCAGGCTGTGCTTGTCATTAGGCAGAACTCTTTCAAGTGAAGGTTATTTAACAGAGCATGTTCAGGTACATGTAAGCAGTTCAAGAAGAAGTGGTTAGAAATACACCTTTTTGGTTGCCATGTTTTCCCTCGACATTGCACTCCCATAAATGTGCTCAGGAGTGTACAAGTGCCTCAAGCATGTCAGTAAGACAGCCGGGGGCTTAGTGTGTTCCCACATGCTCTGGGTTCTGCACTATCGAGGCTGTGGTGGCACTCAGGGGAATTTGGCCAATGTCCCCAGGGGCAGAGGGAAAGTGACAAACAACAGCAAGTTGGTAACATCCTAATTTGCTGTGAGCATGGCTGTGGTGAATGTGTTCCCATAAAGTTGGCCATGACTCCAAGTCCAGTAGAGCCTAGATGCAATGATACAGATGTTTCTTGCATGTTTATAGCCAAAAAGTTATGATTTCTCTCCTGTGTAGAACAAAGTACAACTAAGTGTTTTCATTGCTGTGTAGCTTCATACCTTGTTGTCAAGACTATCCTTTTTGCCCATTGTTCTAGAAAGTACTGGATGAATGCCAAAACCTGAGATCCTGCCAACTCCTTGTCAATAGTCGGGTTTTTGGGCCTGATCTGTGTCCAGGGACCACTAAAATCCTCCTTGTCTCCTTTAAATGCAAACCTAGTAAGTAATCTTTATCAGGCAAATGTGTTTTTCTGCATGTTTTGTTGCTTGTTTTGGTTAAAATGCCACTGCACAAGGCTTTGCAAAAATCCATGTGAAGTTTTGGGGCTCTTGGATTGATAACAAATTGCTCTTTTTGACTTTACCTTAGCTCTCTGCTGTGTCTGCAGCTTCAGGGTGCTTGCTGCCAGTTTAATGACCACTGTAGTTTGGCAGGGGCAGATGTCAGATATCAGACTAGAAAGGAAAAATCTTATGTCAATTATTTTTAGTGAGATAGCAATGATAATGTCATATTAGAAAGAGCTGAACAGGAAAACCAGATGCTTGGGCTAAGGATCCAAATGAAGAAGGCATCCTAGGAAGGAATATGCAAAAATACTTAAGGAACTGGGCCCAAAGCTTTCAAAGATTCAAAAATATCTCCTGGTATATACCTCCTATTTATGAAATAATGGCCAGAAGATACACATGCTGACTTGGTTAGAGGCTTTTACTGTAGAATCACCTGTGCTCTGTGCAGGTATTTGATGCTGATATGTGAAGGGACAAATCTTGCGTCAAAGAAAATCCACTCCTTGAGTATGAAAAAGGGGAAGAACAATGAAGACAATCCTCATGAGGTTTCCTTTATTGGTGGCTTTTAATTGTTCTCCTTGTTGCTATGGTATATGAGAACAAGCTCCAGTAGCCTGGGGGCTCAGCTCTTTTGACAATGAATTCCCAGTGTGGCTGAAATGGGTCCCAAAGAAAACAGCTGAATGATGATTTATGGGTAGGTTCACCAGCCAACATAGAAATACCAACCCACAAGCAAAGGAGAAAGTACTAAGGGTTTTTTTTTTGATCAGAGCGCTAAGACAGACATCAGTGCTAGAACAGGAGTAGTTGGCAAGCAAACTGAAGAGCCAGCTCATACAGGAAAGAGGAAATCAGAGCCGAGAGATGGAATGGAGTAAACAGATGTTACCTTTGGTAAAGCACTGACTCAAGAACTCCCAGGGAGATACACTGGGTCAATCATCAGAGGGAAAAAAATGCCTGAAATTTAAAATTTTAATTACCTGTTTTATTATAATAATAGTTTAATTCTTTTTGCATATTGAAATTAGTCCATTATTAATAGTAGATGGATTTGAATATCATAGCAGTGTCTGTGTCATTAGAAATCTGTTTGCTAATCAAAAGTGAATTTGGATCCTGTTAATTACTTTCAGAAGCTGCTTAATATTTTTTCCCATGGGAGATGAGCTTCTTTTAGTATATAGTATTTCCTGTGATCTGAATTTTGAAAAAGCTGGTCAAAAGCATATTCAACAGCAACTGCCACCTTCAGAATTCAGGAATAATCCGATTCCAGTGCAAACGACATGATTTCTTGTGGCAGGAAATTTATGTTTGTAGGTAAGATACCAATATTGTTAGTCTTGGCAGTGGAAAACATCCTAACTCAGGAAATCACTTCAAGATAACTTTGTGTTTTATTTGTGTTATATTTTGCAGTCTCCTTGCCTTCAAGCAGGCACTTAAGCAGTTGCCTAAGTCCCTTCGTTTTTCATCTATTTAGAATTATTGTTGCCGTATCTTTGCAGAGGTTTATGTTGGGCTCTTCTCCTTGTCTGATACCACATGGGGTTATATATACTTCCAGAGCCTCTCCAGCACAGCCAGGCAGACTCAGCTGTATGCTGTCAGTCCTTGAGCACAGACCTCAGGTTTTTGGCCTATTTATGTGTGCACAGCAAGGCAGGCGCTTCAGCACAAGTCACAACCTGCAGTAGGTCAAGTATCTTTCAAAATGTTTTCAAAAATGTTTTCAAAATATTTTTTCAAAATCACTCTTTTTTACATTTAAGCTTGTGGCTGTTGATGAGCTCGAATGGAAGAAACTGGACTGTTACCAAGAACATTAGCTCATTGTTTTATCTGTTCTGTTTTGGATGAAACAGTAATGATTTCATTCATGAGTAGATAGGAGGTTTTTCTCTCTCCAGTTCCTGAAGAACCAGCATCCACCCTCCACTCACAGGGACACCACCCACTAACAGTAAGGTTTCCCTTTTCTTCTGCTCAGCTCAGGATTCTCCTTTTCCCATTTTCACATTTTTGAGGACAAAAAAAATTGGAGGAGAATAAACTCTTCTCCCTGGCCTTACCTGCCATAAAAAGGTTTGGCATCACAACTCAACCTTCTTAAGGAAGACTTAAGAAGGTAATATGCCACAAACAGAGCGGCTGCTTATTCCAGGAAGAGCCTTGTTGGCCAGGTGGCACATTTAAAGGGATTCCCTAGGAGGGATAAGCCATGAAGATGAGCTCAGTGCCTTCCCCACCTCTGCTGAGGGTGCTGCCAGGGTTCCTTGTGCCAGCTGAGCAAGGGAGGGGGCAGATTTTTCTCAGGCTGCTAATTCACGTGACTTTGCCAGCCAAAGTTTCAAATGAGCCTTTGCTGGATAGTGCCATCCAGGGAAACCCACTGACCTTGGTGGAGTGGTGCAAATACAGCTGAGAGCACTGTCTGGCTTGGGATGGGGACCCTGTCCTGGCCTCTTGTCCCTCCCATTATCCATGCCTCGCCCAGGTGCTGTCACTGAGCAGTGCCAGCCCTGCCCCTGATTGACAAGTGTGCAGAGGCAGCTGAGGCACACATAGAATGTAACTCTCTGTCCTGAGGAGAGACAAAAGGGAAGGATGAAGCTTCTCTTGCTGAGAAGGAGTGGAAAGAAAGTCAGGAAAGCAGGGAAGCTGTTCCACTGGCAAAGAAGATTGGAAAAATTAGGATTTTCTATTCTGTTCAAAATGGAATCACAGAAAGTCACTTGGGCACAATTCATTTGGAAGAAACACTCTGCTCTTGACTTTGTGTCTGTCTGTACAGGTGCCACGTGTCACTTACAACAGCACTTGCAGGAAAGCTGGTTTCTGTCCTGCTGCTATTTGCTATTAACAGTCCAGCTATTTAAATTGCCTCACTATCATATTGCTGTTTGCTTCTACTTTAGCTGAATACAAAACCAAATCAGCATGTGAAAACCAGGAACTGAAGCTCCACTGTCAGGAATCCAAGTTCCTTATCATCTACTCGGCCACCTACGGCAGATGGGCACACGAGGAGAGCATCTGCTCAACAAAGGCGGAGCACACACCCCCCTTTGGTATGTTTGGGACCTTCTATAGGCAAGAGCACAGGTTGGGAGAAACTTCAAGTGCAAGAGCAATGGTGTTTTGAAAGCATCAGTGATGGAAATGTGAGAGATTATTTCTGAAACTCGAACAAACTGCCCAGTATGAGGGAGGAACATAGACTAAGAAATGCAGCAAAGTAATAAACTTTAATATAGTTAATTAATTTTTAGTATGATTAGCATCAAAAACTAGTTCCCTTGCCTGTCTTGAGTTTAGGTGACATATACTAAATATTAGCTGTTTGCCTCTCTTCTTCCTCCAGCTTCTGATAATGACCAGACGACCTGAGTGTCATGATACTGTGTCTTACTGCTCCTTCTCTGATACCCATTTCTGCCAGATATTCCCTGCCTTAGCTGCAGACTGTACAGAGAGGAGAGTCTGCAGGGCCATTGTTTTAGATGTTGTTATATAACCATACCCCAAGGCTGTGGTGGCACTCTAGAAAGTTAAATGTACCTGGACTTCACTTTGGCACCAAGTCAGGAATGTCCTACGTATGCAGTACTAAACTGAATGATATGTTCAGTGGTGACACTGAAGGCATGAAGGGAACTTTTCACGCCTTGAGAAGGCCAGCACGGGATGAGTGTGCTCTTCAAATCCCCTGGTACTACACAGGGAAGGGCTTGCATGACTAATGGCAGCCCTGTGCAAAGGCTTAACATTGCTCCTAAGAAACATGCTTTATGTGTCATCTATAAGAAGCATCTCTGAACATCAAGAAGAGATCAATAATTAATCTTAAGAGTCTTTTGTCTGCAAGCCAATGTTTCTATTTAGTTAGATATTATTAAAAAATTATTGGCTGAAAATTGCAATCTGTTCTTAGACAAGAATCTCGTATTTCCAGGTCTGTGTTTTATACCAGCTCTCTTGGGCTGTCACAGAGGCTTAGCTATGCCTGTCTGTTCCACGGAGAAAACATTTTGGCAGGTCTCTGTCAGGCCCCCACACCCCTTATAACAGTGGCATAAGCAGGTGACACAGGGCAGGGAAAAGATGTCTCAGCTGATCAACTTAGGTCTTGCACTTCACTGACCTCTCAAATCACTCCCTCGCCTCTGTCAGCACTCACAGTTCACACATCAGAATTGTGCAAACCATTCCTAATGGATAAAGTTTCCCAGGATAAAGAGAAAGCATTTGCAACAGCAACAAGCTCTGCTGTGGCTCCCGTGTACAAGCACCTGTGCAGCAATGCCCTGGCTGGCACTGGTTTTGTGTTCTGTAGAGCAGCCCAAGGCACTAGTAACAGGAGAGAGCATAAAACCTGAGACAAATACAAAGCAGATCTACAGAAGGTAGATCCTTGTATAGATTTCCTACTACTTAATGGAAATGCTTGGCCTCTTCCTGTGTACTAGTGACTTTCTGCAGGCGATGGAATTTCCAAAAGCCCCTGGGTGGCATGGGAGTTCACATTCAGTTATCACAAAAGACCTGGCACTTAGGAGTCAGATCCAATTGACTCCAGACCTATCTCTCTCAAGCCTGAATCTTATTTTTGTGGTTATTTAAGCACCTACAGATCTAAGTGGGTGCATGATTAGATTTCTGCAATGACTGCATACCTTTCTCTGAGGGAAAACAATGGTAATTTGAATGTAATGACTTGAGACAGCTCTTCCTTCCTGAATCAGACCCATGTACTTATATTTATGTTTGCACCAAAAGCTGAATTGGCTCCAACATACGTCCATTATTGTTTCTGCTCACATTAGTGCAACTCAGCCTATGGGCAGCGCTCAAGCCTTTCCAGTTCTTTTACTGCATAACAGAGAAACTGCAATTTTTTTTAGCACTATGCAGAAGAGAAGTCACCCAAAGGTCCTAATGACAGGCCCAGAAAGTCTCTGGTGATCTCAAAAGCTTTGTATCTCTCCATACTTGACATGGTCCTGCCAGGTGTACTGGGTATTGAATTGGATACTCACCAAGATCTTGGCTACCTGATGATACGTGTTATAGCAGTGACAAACAGCAGCTTTGGGTTGGGACAGTTGGGTTCTCAAAGCATCGCTTTTCTGTGAGCCAACTGTCAAATCAGCTGACAGATTTTGCTTTGCTTCAAAGGGAACCCAGGGAAACATAACATTTCTTTGGCATAAAGGCTCTTCTCCATAGAGTAATAAATTTTATCAATCCATCTCTGCTGTGGGAGATATCTGTGTGGCCTTGAGCACTTCTAGGATCCTGAGCATCACGTCCACATTTAGCATGAGTATCTACTCATGCAACTGGTTTTCTGAGACAGTTCAATGGTAAATGCCACCTTCTGCAGCTTTTGCATTGCAGTCCAAATGCCTGGCACTGTTAAGATTGTACAGAATTTCCAGCAAGCAACTTCCATGTTTTACTAAGACTATCTGAGAGTCCTTCTGTAGCAGATGGTTGTGCCTAGAGGAATCCATTGTGCCCAGCACCAAAGCAGGAAACCATAGCAGTTTTGTTCCAGTGTGAATTACTGCCTTTTCTGACCCATTATCTCTTTCATATTTGTACTAACATATGCATGAGGAAACAGAAAATTTATTGGTCAGAAGAAGTTAAAAGAATTGTGCCAGAACAGGTTACCATAGAGAGCAACAGGAAGATTCAGGTCAACAAACACTCCTCAAATAATAAATTACTCTTATTAATACATGAATATACTTGAAAGAAGGCTTGGTAGTCTCTTAGTGGGGTTGCCTCTAGGTTAAATTCGCAAGCTTAGAACACTTCTATCCTTCTCAAAAATTCCTCTGGATGCACATTGGCTAGTCCCTCAAGCACCAATGACCAGCAGAGCCCTGAATTACAGCCCTGCCATGGTTCTCATTGCTGGAATGTGGGGTTCTTTCCAGTACAGCCCTCTCTTTTACCTGGTCCCACTTTTGGAGTGTTCAGAGGGGAGGTGGAGAATTCACAAACATTCATCACATCTTGAACTATGCAATGACATACCCTGGGGTTGGACTTTGTCCTAGTCTCATCTTCCCAGTGGAATTCAGATAAGAGGAAGGGATGAGAAAGTCAAGCAAGGGGCATTTTCAAAAACCTATAGGTTCTTTCCAGTCCAACTAGGGGTCACAGTTTTTTTAATGTAACAGGATTCTGTGATGCTGTGATTATTTTTGTTTGCTTGTTGGATATTGTAGCCAATTCAAAGGGTCTTATAGCTTCTATTCACTGACTGATTGAAAAGCTTTTCGTTTCTGCCTCTTACTAAAAGATGTACTCATTGCCTGGTGTAAGCCTGTCTCCTGGGAAGGTCTCTTGAGAGCAGAAGTAACAGCAGTGAAGGCACAAACAGCTTTAGGCAGCTCTGGAAATGTTTCCACACTGTCTTGGCACTTTGGGCGTGTGAGACAGGAGTCAAATGAATTTTGTGGATACATAAGTAAGGATAAAATAGTTCAATTTTGCTTCCACCACAAAACCCCTTAAGTCAGCTGTCTATGTGCAGACATCAGATATGAAAAGGTCCTTGCCTGTGTCAGCCCGAGCAAACTGGGAAGCTTAATAGGTGCTTTGGGCCCCAAGAGGTGCCAGTAGGAGCCATTGCACCCCTTTGCCACTTGAAGGTTGTCAAGACAAAACTCCCTTAAAAGAAAAGGTTTTCAGAGCAGTGGCAGGATGAGGAGTGATTGAAGGGAGGAAGAGACCAGCCACCATTTTTAGAGTCCAAATAACTTTCTTCTGAGATGAACAGGGAAGATCAGATTTGGCTGGTGGAAGTTGCTTGGAGAACATTAAAACACACACCACTTCAACCGGTAATGTTTTCTTTACCAGCAGTTCAGGGCTTTCTTGGGTCTATTTTTTCATGGCTCACATTTGTGAAAGGTTTGGAAAAGTACACTTGGTCCTCAAGTGTAAAAGGAGCCAAGGAACTCCTGCCTGTTCACATGCAGGAGCAGCGAGTCTGGTTCCTGCTCTCAGGAAATGGAGAGCCACACTTGTCTCTTGCCCCTGGTGTTTGGTGGGATGGATCCCCCTCTCTGCACATGCATGTGCAAGGAGGAGAGAGAGAGACCAAGTTTGGGGTTTTTTTGGTACAAAAGTGCTGCTGATCACATTGTGTGTTTCTGCTGGAATCAGCAATTCAAGTGGCCCTTTTCTGATGCGTAGGCAGGACCCTGTGTGCCATGCTCCTGCATAAATTACCATATTATTTCAGCAACTTTCTTTAGAAGTCTGCAGCCTTAGGTTGCTCCAAACTCCATAGTTTCCCCTTGTCAATGCTTGTCCCCACAGCTGAGATCTGGGCTCCACAAAGCACAAGCCATCCTGATTTGGAGGTGTGAAATCTTTGCTTTCAGCTGATTTTAATAGTGAGCTCCTTATTCTTCTGTGGGTGGACACAGCCCAGAACACATAAAGCAGCACAAGGAACAGTTGGGGATGGAAGCAATTTGAAACATTTGGAGAGGGTGGGACAGGATGCTGTCGCCGGAGCCTGGCACAAGATGCTCCATCACCTGCAGGTTTTGTGTGGAAGGGTGGAAAGAAAGGGAGGGAAAGCTCCTCCTGTCTGAATTGAGAGAAGCTTTAAAAAACAGAAGACAAATTACTTCTCATTAAAGCCTGCATGATTTATGGCATGTCATTTGCATGCCAAAACTTTCCCAAACAAAGCTAATTAGGGAGCTGAAAGAGCCTTTCCTCCAGAAACAAGGCTTTCTACTCCAACTATTAAATAGCTGCAGTCAGATTGGATAGTTTATTACTGCATTAAGAACCTCGTCTTGACACCCGTGTCCCTGTGCCATCCATAGCAGGGTCTCATACAAAAGATCCACCGACAGTCTTGGTGTCTAACAAGCAACTTTGGGAGAAAAGCATGGAGAATGGAGTGTTTTCCCAGCCACACATTGCTGCCTTGTCCACCACCGCCGGATGCCACCAGCCTTTTAACACTCTGGGAATGTGCCTTTTCCAGACGCAAGTTATTGAAAATGTATGGTACTAGTCTAACAAGCCCCAGAAATATCTGTGTAGATCAAACAGCACTTAGTCAGAAAGAAGCCACATTGTGTATTTAAGTTCATCTCCCAATCCTTGGTTTCTTTGGGGCCATTCCATGGGATTCCTTTACTCAAAACACAGCACTGGTCTCTCCTCATTCAATCACTGAAAAAGGTGTTTGACCAGTTGGAGGGTAAGTTTTTCAAGTTAATCCCATCATAGCTGCTGGGAGAACTAGTGGGAAGGTAGCAAGGCCACATGTCAACCAGACAGGATTTTTTATTGAATCACAAAAACACAAAATCTTTTCAGAATGCAGGAAGTCTTAAATAGGTTGTTTTCTTTTTTAAGACTTTCCAGGTAACATCTGTCCTGTCCTGCAGAAGAAACAGGCCAAGGTTTGCATTTACTCACCTATGACACCATGGCAAGCCTTGGGAGGTTTTCAAAAAACTAGCCTGCCAAGATCCTGCAGGCATATAACAACTGGCTCCCTGGGTAGAAGAGCCAAATCCAACATGGATAGAGATGAAAAGAAGCTATTAAGTCCCACAGAAACATGAGCAAAGGCAAAATGAAACATACACTTGCCATATCACTGAATATGTAGAAAACCATCAGCACAGCATCCTCCTGGTTTCATAAGGTATCAAGAGTAGCTCCCAGGGCAGGAAATTCTATAGAAAACATAATTCAGTTTGCCAGTTTGCTGTTGTGCTCCCAATCCATTCATTTATCAATCACCCAACAATTCCTCCTGATACTCTCCAGCTGGTTTTGTACTTGCCTAAGTAAGCTACTGGCTACCAAAAACATCCACCCAAATATATCCTTACTCATCTGAAATTGCCAGGGAGGGAAACTAAAACTGCTGAGTTACTTAATCAGAACTACCCAATGGTTTAGGTCAGCCCTTCCCTGCCTTCCCAGCAGTCTCTTGGGACACACAGGTATTGGGATTTTAGGTCTCTGAAAAGTCAAAGAGCTCTCTCCTAGAATCTATGTCCAAAGCAAGCCATGAGCCCTTTGCCAGACAGATCAGCCCATTACCTCCTGATGGCTCTGCCCAAGTATACAACTTGTTTAGTACTGGTGTCAGGGAGTTAACTCTAAAAATTACAAATCTGCCCCATTTTCACATATTAAATGCCAAGAACTCAGTCTCAAACCTTCTTTTCAAATACATTTGGGGAACCTTTGGAGTGTCTTTGCAAATGGTGTTTGTCTTTCCTCTAAAGAGGCACAAATGAGCTTCAGCAGTTGGTAGGTGACTGGAGGCCATCCTTTATTGTAGGAAGAGGGACTATTTTAACCCCCAGAAAATGATGTTTCAGACCTCTAGAGTACCCTTGCCTCAGAAGCCTGGAATGAGACATTTCTGTCATACACAGAAACCCGCAGTGTGTGGGGTGATGCAGAAAGGTTCAGAGAAGTATTACTTGCTCCAAACTTTTTCTTTCTGCATCCTTTGGTTTAGAAACCAAAACTACGGGGTGTTTTTTGCTTTGTGGCTTGGAGTTTAGCACATGTGGATACAGAGAACTTAATCACATTTAGATACGTTCTTTTTTTTTTTTTTGAAGCAGAGGGTGACTCACACACTTTCCCACTCAAATAATTTCAGCTCCAGTGCAAAACCCATTTCTGGAAGCCACATGTTTCCCTGGTTAAATATTGAGCCCATTTTGACCTCTTCATAGTAAATGAAAAGCTACTTTTTAATACCCTGAACTTCCCTGTAGCCTGAGCTGTTGCAACACATAAAAACTGATCTCACCTGACTTGAACTGAACTTGGCTATCCAGTTGACTCATCTCAGTAACCCAGGGCTGAGAAACAGACTTGGAAACAGTATTTCATCTCTCTTAATTTGGGATGGAATAGATGGAGAGCTATTTGGATGTGCTTATTTTTTCCAACACATCCTGAATGGAACATTGAGACCTTTTACTGGGCACCTGTTTGGAGCTTGATGAGACTCTTCCTGCACCCTTAGTATGCACCTGTAAGGCAGTGTGGGAGAGTTACCTCGCTGCAAGTTCACATTTATTGCAGCTGACTTCCTTGCATTGACAAATCTTAACTCCAAAATCCTGCTAAGGCAAAGTTATACCTGAGATCAGGTGCAGATTTGTATCTCTAGTCATGCAGCCAGCAGTTCTCATTTCAGATAACACCAGGGTATTGTATATTTATTGCATGTACTTTTTCTTTCAGACTGTTTGTCTTACACAGCGCTGGAAGTGTTATCCAAAAGGTGTTATGGGAAACAGAGATGCAAAATTATTGTCACTAGCCGGGATTTTGGAAGTCCATGCCTACCTGGAGTGACAAAATACCTAAATGTCAGCTATGCATGTGGTAAGAGCAAATGCACAATCATTTTCATGCCCTCCTTTCTGCTTGCAAAGACACACACATGTCCACATATGGGCACTAAGCCTTCCTAAATATCCACTTCCCTTTAACACAGGAAGTTTGTGACTGCCATACAAAAAACAACCCCCTAGGCACAGCAGCACCTAATAAATACTCTAGCATTAAAGGGGTCTTTTTGTGATAAAAAATGCAACCAACAATAAAATATCAACTATATAGTTCAATATTTTTGAGAAATACTATCAAGATAAGAGTTTGTTCCACAGAGTTCACCTGCAACAGAGCTAGGAAAAATCAACACTGCCTGGCATCAGTGCATGTAAAACAGTCCAGCATAATTGAAGCACTGTGTACAAGCTCAGTCCTGAAACCTGATTCACGTGAGTACATCTACAGCTTCTCCCTCACAGAGGAGTTTCCTTTCTCATGGAAAGGGAAGTGAAGGTTTATGGAAAGTAAAAGCTTGAGGTTATAGATCCCTTGCAGGATTGAAATGTATTTCAGCTCATTCCTCAGACAAGAGGGAACAGTTTTCCATATTGCTTGCTATAGACATATAATTTCCTAAGAGGCGAGCAGAATTCCCTAAAATACTTCAAAAGGAGCAGTTCCATGGGTACATACTGCAGAGTCCTTTGGCTGCATCCCTAGTGAGTAGTGGTCAAAGGGCACAGGTTACCTGAGACATGCTTTTAAGAACAGCAGTGTAAGATTGATGGCCAGATCACCTCTACCTGAAGATCAGAGGAAAATGAGCCCCAAGAGATTTTCAGTCTCCCCAGGAACTGGCTGTCAGCTCTGAAAGGTGGTGCAATAATTCAGCTTCCTATTATTGGAGATATCTGGGAATCTGCCATTGCACCAATACATTATATTATTGTGCAGCTGCCTTTATGAATGAGTTAATGTAATTCTCTCTAATTAGCATGAGCGTAATTACAACAACAAGTTGCTCAACTTTGCATGTCTGTGTACCAGAAAAGCAGAGTGAGTTTGTTGGCACTGGAGTTACACATTCTGTTATTTAGGGATGTGGTTTTGCAAAAACACACGGGTAACAAATAGTGTTCTTTTCTGTTCCTGGCACATTTGGAAGAGTTTTTCTCCTGCCAAATCTTACTGGGCTGTGCAGTCTGAAGCATTAGCCAATGATTTGCAGGTCTTATTATTTTACAGCTCATCTAATGAACATGGGAAGAATTTGGCATATTCCAGAATGATATTTTACATTCAGTCTCCTCACCAGAGGATGCCAGCTAATCTGTTGCTTCCCAAAACAATGCAAATAGATCTCCCACTGTAGTGACAGGAACTCAGTGAAGCACAGCACTTTCGTTCTCAGGGCTGTGCCACACTTCAAAGTATTTCTATCATGGTCAGGAATGTGAAAAAACCCCATACTCCCCACACAGTGATCAGCAGCTGTTTAGGGGTAGTGAGTCTGGATGCATTTTTACATTTGCAGTTCATTCCTGACAGTAAAAACATGACAGGAGCTGGGAGGTGCTGGTTCCTTGAAGTCTCAGTGCCCCCAGTGATCTGCTCAGCATCATCTCCTGTCTGCACAAGGTGGGACCTCCTGGCTCTTGCTCAGTCTGCACTTCAGGATCACAGAATCCTCTCTCATGGCTCCTGCAGACCCGTGGTGTATCCATACTCCCTGGATGCCAGAGACCCTTTGTGGGCTGCCTTTGGCAGTCTGCAGGAGGCGACTGACTCCTACTTGCCAAAGTAGTGCTGGCACAAGTTGTAATACAGATGTGATTGTCTTAATAAAAATTCCTATGCTGGTACCAGCTGTTCTGTTCAGCAGCCTGATATAGCCTATAGCAGTTAAAGTCCTTGCATCTGAAAGGCACCACATTGAAAACAAGCAATGCAAGCAGCCAGAGGCTCTTTCTCTCCATGCCATTTTGAATTAAACATTCCCCTACAATAAATATTTGGGGATATATAAAGGGAAATATAAAGGGGAAAAGATCAAGTGAAGCACTGGGGAGCTTCCCCTGGGAGGGGAGCAGGAGGAACATCAGCACAGGAGCACAGGTGAAGGAGTCCCAGGCCATGTGACAGGAGCTTCAGGTCCCGTATGGGCGCTGGAGATGGCGCATCCTCCCAGGACGTTGTTCATAACACAGACATGTTGTTCAGAACAGCCAGGCCTGCAAATGCAGACTGCAGGCTGGAAACAATCCTGTTCTGTCTATCTCACAACCAAGGAAAGTATTCTGACACTGGAAAACAGCTACAAATTACCATAAGGTACAAGACAAAATAGAAATGAGCTTATTTACCCCTGTATTTGTTGGCCTTCCACTGCAAACAAGAGCCAAGGCTCCCAAAAGGATTCCTTTATCAGGAAAGGAAACAGCTCTGACTTTGAGCCCACACAGAAAGAAAAGTTCTGCTCAGAAAGAAGTGCTATTTTTAGTTGTTTTCCAAATGAAAACTATGCTAAGCTGCAAACCTCAGTCTCCTCTGTTCTATTTAACTCTCTCAATGCTACTTCTTGGCAAATGTTTATTGGACAATAGAGGTGAGTGTCATACTTGAAATTTTTTCCTTTTTACCCCCCATCAGTCTGAAAATCAATCAATGTGCCTTCACATAGTATAGGAACAGGTGCTAAGATCTGGGCAGCTGAAGGGTCCATCCATCCATTACAGAATATGGGATCTCTCAATGTCCGTACAATGCACCTGCTTGTAGTTCTTTTAATTATTTGAAGAAGACTGTGAACACATACCGAGGGAAATTAGAAAGATGCAGCTCATTTATTCCCATCCTCCCCATCTTCCTTGGCAACCATTCATCTCAGAAGCTTCGCAAATGACATCACACAAGACTTTAACATTTATCTTAGAATTACAGTGCATCATCCTCATTCAAACCCAGTATCTAGATGCAACTTAGCATCTGGCTGTAGCCCAGTCTATACTGAATTTAGAGGCCAATTTTGTCTCCATCCACTGGTTGGCACACCCTTGAGGGGTTGAAAACAAGGGGCAGGTTGCCAGGCTGTATGGAGATGCTCCTGGAGTAGGCTGGGGCATAGACCCAGCCACGGACCCAGAGCTGCCCTGACTTCGCAAGAACCACACAACCATTAAGGCTGGAAAAGACCTCCAAGATCAGTCCAACCTTCAATACCACTGTCAGAAACACAGTTAATAAACCCAGGGTTAGCAGTGGGATTCGTAAATAACTGGGGAGAGGGTTCTTAAAACCAACAGAACATAATTTGTCTTTTGTCTTTGCAGTTCCTAAATTTATCCTCACTGCTGTCAACCCCCTGGTCCCTGATAACAAGTCTTCCGTCAAACAGAACAATGGTATGTAGCAGCACAGACACAGGGTTTGGGATGAAGTAGTGGAAACCCTGCTGGAAGAGCTGGTCTTTCTGTTGGAGAGCAGAGGACAGGCTGGGAGTGGGATGTGAGCACAGTCCTGCAGTCATAGCAACTCTGTTGGAAGAGTGACTTGCCCAGCCTGACCAGAGCCAGCATGCTGGGAAGACTAAAAGTGAAACTGTAATTGTTTCAGAGTGAAAAATCTTTTACAAGTTATGCTAACACCAGCTCTTCTCAAAGGCCACAAAGTTAAGGACTAGGCTGATGTGTGTCCCCAGTAACAGGAGTACATGGAATAGTTGGGCTGGGAAGGCCATTGGAGAAATGTGAAGCTTCATGAAGTAAAATTATTTCAGAAACCCCAATGGGATTAGGCACAAGGGGTTTCACTTGGCAACAGACTCTTTTAAGTTAATTTGCCATTTTCTACATATTTGATATTTTCAATAATTTATTAATTATACTTTAACTTATCAAGCATTGTTTGCTCTAGTGTTCTGCAGCTCCTTCAGCACGGCAGGGGCCTGCCTGTGGTTTTGGGTGGACTTGTTAGCTGGAAAGCTACTGGGTGAATATCAACTTAGTAGCTTCACTGAATTTACTTTACCTCCTCGTGTCACAGGTGTTGACCTTGATCCAAGGGAATCGAGACTTCCAAAGAAAGATGGAACTATAGTTAGCTCTAACTACTTGGCTACATTTGCATACATTAAAGGTAGGAAAATGAGGCTGAGATTGTTTTGCTCACTAGATCATGGCATTGTGGGAAAAGGGAGGATCAACTCCGATGGTTACAACTAGTAATCCCATGTTTATGGTAATGATACTACAATATAATCACAATCTTGTGGATGGGACAATCCCAGCATAATTCATATTTAATTCATATTTAGGGAATGTTCCTTGCCTTGAAGGACTCAAACACTTAGCAACTACAGCCAAGATACTTTTAAACTTTTGATGGTGACTGTTGGTTGTTCAGTAGTTTTGAAAACCTGGCCCTGACATGCGTGAGCACTGGAGACATCTGTCCTCGGGAACGTTGGGTTGCATACATACACAAGGAGTATCAAGGAGTAATAAAAAAAAGAAAAAAGTCACCAAACCCAGCCGTCTCTGCTGCAAGACAGTAGGTTTTGTGACTTAGCAGCACTAAGTGCAAAGGAAGAAAAGAAAAGAAAAGTGCTCCCTCCTCAGCCTGGCCTGAAGATGCTGCTGAGGCCCTGCAGAGCCCAGAGTCACTCTTTGCATGCCCTGTTGGTGAGGGCAAAGCCCGTTTTGGTAGGATGGCTGGAAGGACCAAACAAGGCATGCAGAGTAGCTGGTAGCTTGTTGACAACAGCACTAAGCTGCTCATAAAGGGTTGGGGCCATGTTGTTATTTTACAATATTATAATGTCTGATGACTGGATTTTTGCTCAACAGTTCAGAGGCAGAGCTGGTGGGGTTGGGCTCTGAGTGTTGGGAGGTTTGGCTAAGGAACACTGCGGGAATGGCAGCTGGGGGTTTGTAAACAGCCTTGGCAGTTTGTAAAGTGATTAAGCCCTGGCTTTCTTGTCTGCAGATCACCTTGAAAGAGCCGCTCTCCTGTTTGTGTCCAGTGTTTGTGTGGGATTAATCCTCACACTGTGTGCCTTGGTGATCTGCGTATTGTGTCCTAGTGACATCCAGAAGCTGCACAGGAAGAGGGATCAGCTAGTGCCAGAGAGTGCCAGAGCCTATGAGAGCAGTGAACAGGAGGAGGAGGAGGAAGAGGAGGATTTCTCCCTTTCAAACACCCAGGATGAGACAGATGGACTTTACAGACCTTGTTACTCAGGTTATAACTCAGCAGAGGCAGCAGAACTGGCCGAAAGGATTGAGCGCAGGGAACAGATCATACAGGAAATTTGGATGAGCAGTGGTTTGGATATGACACCCCCTAGAAATATGAATACATTTTATATTAATGAACAATAAATGGCTTATTTTGGATGACACTCTATCCCTTTTTTTGGAAAAAAAAAAAATGTACCTTCTGTGAAGGAACATTTGTATGAGTGAATATAATTATTTGTAAAATAAAAAGAAATATATGCAATAAAAAAGGGTTTCATATCTTTGACTGTCTATAAACCCTTCTGTGAAAAACACTACAGTTTTAACTCATGGTACAGATTACTTTTCACTGTAATTTGGGATCAACTGCCAAATGCATGTTTAGGAATATTAAAAAAGGTGAAAAATATTTAAGCAGATGTATTCAACCATCAGAACAGACTGATGTGCACCTGTGTTGGCAAATGTGTGAAGGACAAGCTCCAAAACGGCTGCTTCTTTCATAAAAGACTCTTGACGTTGCCACACGCTAAGAATATTTTACTTAAGGGAAAAACTGGTTAATTTTTCTGATCCTAAAGCAGGGTTAGAGCCAGTACTTGAATGCAGGTCATATTCTCAGGATTTTTTATCAGTTCACAATCTTCACTCGAAAATTGTTAAGCTAGTCAGATTTGGTTTCAGTTGGAGAGAAAATTAAACCAGTACTGTATCTAAGCTGAAACCACAACAGCCTTCCTGTCTTAAAAATGTCTCCAATATTTTAGCTGCAGCCCATAGGGAATTTACTGAACAAAAGGAGGAAAACTGTCACTTCCTATTGGTAATACTTCATGGGCTTATTGTGCTTCCCCACTCAGATGCTGTGTGTCCAGGTAGAGCATAGTATGAAACACTTGGAAAGAAAACAGTGACATGACTTGTCATTTCCTACTGATACAAAGTCAAATTAAGCCTGGAAAAACTTTAAAGGGAGGAAGGGAACTTGCTCAGATGACTAAGGCACAATCCTGTGCTCAACTGGAAAAATCTCACCAGCAATTAGCATCCTATCAGAGGAAGGAAGAGAGGCTAAGGAGATGGATGGAAGGTTGAGGTCACCCAGAGCACTGGGAAATTGCAGGAGAGGCTGGGCACAGCCCAGGAGCCTGGATGCAATCCTGCTGGGCCACTGCTCTCCCCTTTCCAGTAGGAAGTCATCATAGCCTGTGCTATGTGCAATGTTGATTAAAAGGTTTCGGTCTGGAGAAGCCCATGCCTTGGTCCTGAGTTTGCCTTTGGGGAGGGCTCTGGGCCAGAGCTGGCTCCTTCCTCCTGACTCATGGGGCAGGTGCCACCCATTTCCTGGTCAGACAGAAAGGGACTGATCTACGTCCCAACAATTCCTCCTGCTGACAGACTGTACTAGTGAAACAAATCTGACCCTCTTCCTTTTACTGGAGCGGGCTGGGCCCTGGCCTGCAGGGCTGAGGGCAGGGGCTCCAAGGGCCCCTGCTCTGACGGGCTCCCCAAAACTCTTGAGTCCTGGTGAAACTCCCTTCTGTTGAGCCTGGGGCCCACAGGCCAGCTGATCTCCAGCTGCTCTTTTCTAGCAGTTACCTGTCTGGCAGTTAATGTTTATAGTCACTAAAATTTGTGCATTTTCTTCCCTCATTTTTTATTGGGAAGCCTTAGTGGAGTTTTAGCCCATAAGCTGACATCCTAAAAAAAGCTGGGAGTTATCTTTCCTTCAGACTCCACTTTGCTCAAGATTAGGTAAAGTCAGTGTGCCCTAGGGGTGGCCCCCTGGAGAAGACCTCAACCAGCCAAAGATAGGACTCCACAAACTTTCCAGGCAACCTGTGCCAGTGCTTGGCCATTCCCACAGTGACAAAGTGCTCTCTGATGTTCAAAGGGATCCTCTTGTGTGTCACTTTGTGCCCACTGCCTTTGCTCCTGACACTGGGCACCCAGGTCCTTTCCCCAGTTAGTTCACTTCATCCACACATCTGTCCATCTGATACCCCTCGCTGGGATTTCCAGCTGAAATCAGGGTCTTCACTCCTGGTGGCAAAACAACTGCAGTGGCAGATGATCAGCAGAAAGCAGTTTGCAGCTTAAGAAGCAAGTCCCTTCCTTAGGGCAAAATGCTTCACTTTTCCCAACTCCCAGTCCTCTCCTTGCTTTTACAGCCTTGGAGGAAAAAGACCTTCTGTATTGAAATCGTGATTTAACTGATGACTTGATCCCCTCCTGATTTTCCTCCCTGCCTGGCACCACACACTGGTGGGCAGACAGCAAAAAATTCCTGCAGGTGCCAGAGAAGAAGCTGCTTCCCAGGATGGAGCATTTCACAGCCACTGGGAATGTGCTTGGAGGGAAAAAAAAAAAAGTGCAGTGCTTAATAATGCATGCCTGTTTAAATGGATCCTCAAACATAGTGGCAAACCCTGTCCAAACCCCAGCACCAGAAGAAACTGAGCAGGGCAGGTGAAGCAGCATTTTCTTCAGGCTGTGAGGTCAGGCTTCACTCAGGATCTGTTCCTTTGAACTATTTATAGTCTGAATTTGGGTTGCTATTTTATTCATTTTGCATAAACTTTCCAAGTCTACCTGGGGAAAGCTGTCAATTAGTGGTTCACCTCACTTCCAAATATTCACTGTTCACAGCAGTCTGAGTCAGAATGAAGACAAACATGGAAAAACCTGATAAACAGACATTGAATTATTTGGATCTTTCTGAAACAACACACAATACAAAAGTATCCAGAAGACAAAACAGAAAATTAATGAGGCATGCACTTATCTGTCCCAAGCCCTGAAAAAACCAGCAGCTTCAGTGCCATAGCTGGAATCTCTCCAGGCTGAAGATGGAGGTATCCACAGGGAGGGTGCCATGAGGCAGCAGCAGCAATGCTATGGGAAGGACACTCAGGGCTGGCTGTGGGATGGAGTTTCAGCAGTCAAACCCTTGCAATTTCCCAGAAGAGCAGCCTAAGGAGAAAATACTGCAAAGGAGAGCTTGCAAATTGTTTGGACTATTTGGTTCGTGCCCCACACATGGCTGTGGGCAGGACAAACTGGAAATTTACTGGAAATTATATGACCCAGCATCAACATCTGAACTTGCTGGAAGGCAACATGTAGCGCTGGTGTGGCTGTTTGAACTCCCCACTCCTCCCTTGAAGTTAGCCTCAAGTTTGTCACCAGGAACACTGGGTGAGGTTGTAGGAAGCAAGAAATAAATCCTTCCAAATCTTAGGTGAGGCAGAGAATGGAGCAAAATGTGGGAAAGCAAAACCATGAAAAGGAGAAAAGGAATGAAACCAGGTGTGGAAACCATTTCCATTCATCAGGATGGTGATATGGCCACAAACCAAACATTTTAATAATGCTCTGCTGTGTGTCTCCTTTGAGAGAGAATGGATTTTCTCCTTGGAAGGGCATTGCTCCTCTTAAACTTCCAGAAATAAATGGTTTCAAAAAAAGGCAAAACGCTTTTGCAAAGTTGAAAAGTGTGGTGTTTCTATCTCATTATCTCCTTGGATAGTTAAATACCCATAGGCTTTCCTGGGTTCCGGTACTCTTTAATAATTTTCCAGTGAGTTCATTCAATTTCAGCCACAATGAATCAATCCAGCAGATCCACACTGTTGTGAGAACTCTGAAAAGGATCAATGCTATGTAAAGTCTGCTCAGCTAAAGAAAAAAACAGCACCAATTACAGGAGAGAACAGCAGTCAAATGAGTGCAGAAACTGTGTTAAATATTTCCTATGCCTGCTTTTCTCTTGCTTTCAGAGAGGAAATGAGAATATTATAAGCTCCAGGACACTGATTTTCCTCTTAGGAAGTGGTAGAACAAAGTGTTTTGTTAAAAAACATTTTTTGCCATGTGAAATAATTCCAAATAAATTTTAAATGTAAATGATTTGAAATTTTTCAACTCAGAAATGCTGGTTTTCCTTTTTGTAAAAAGTCATGTTACTGTAAAGTTGAAATTCAAGAAAAACTACCAGACCCCAAAATTCCTTAAGAGTAAAAAAATCAGTGATTGACATAAAACCACCATGAATAGTTCACTGAGTGGCATTAATGACCTTTTCTGCATCCAATCTTCAAGCTGTGAGTTCACCAAACACTTGACTTTTAACTTGATTGGTGTTTCTTCAACCACACTAATACAGAAAATCATGATGATTTCTTTACTTCCATCCTAAGAGATCTATTGCTATTAAACTTAGGTTTATCCAATCTACCTGCAAATGATGCTTATTTTTGTATACAAATTACTGTCAACCTCTACATACCAGCAAGATAAACTAAATCCAAAGAATGAAAATGATGCATTCCAGAAGGATATAACTAGTGTCTATACAAAAACACTTCCTTTAAACAAATATTAAGAGGTTAACTCATTTTAAAATGACAGTTTGGAAATAGCTATGTTGAAATATGAACAACCACATAAAAAAATCCCAATTCTCCCTGGATTAGTTAAATAAATTATCTTCTCCAGAGCACACCATCTAATAGTAATGCAAGAATGAGAAGAGAGTATAAAGAGCACTCTGAACAACACCAAACATTCCTGTACATATTTACTAGATCTCTTATCTATGAAACAGATTGACATTTCCATATCCAAGTTACAAGTTTCTAATAAAATACAAAACATCAAGAGAATTTGTTCATTTCTTTGCAGAGAAAAGTGCTGTTGCAGTCACAGAGAAATATGAACATTTATTGAACACCTAAGGCCACAGAAGTGACAATTTCAGCTGCTGTCAGAATAATCTACCACACACAATACAACTCCTTGCTGCAAACAAGAGCATCAACCGAGCAGCTTAAGAAGGGGTTTGCAGAGCTTCATCTTGGACCCCATTTGATGTCTTTTACACCGTGAAATTGCCTTTTCAGAGCATGGTTGTCTGCCCACTCAGCATTTAGAAACGAGTCGTCCTCCTCCTCCTCCAGTTTCTGTGGCAGAGAGAGGAGGGAGGCAGTGAGGGACGCAGCCTGAGCTCTGTCAGAGCAGCCCAGCTCTCGGGCCCCAAAGGAACACTTACCTTCAGCTCCTCCTGCTTCCTGTAGTAGTACAGCATCATCTCTTTTTGCTCTTCGTGACTGATCACAGGCTCCCGCCCCGGAGCTCCTTGTCCTTTCTGGAAGGGAAATTGTAAATGTTGCTGATGGCCTTTGTGATACAGAGGAGAAGCTGCTATACAAAGACAACAAAAATCTTTCTTCAGACAACTGGATTGCTCAAATTTAATATGGTTCCTCAGGACAGGAAAATAAATGCAGAGTAACTGTGGCTGCATTCACAGAATGGTTTGGGTTGGAAGGGACCTTGAAAATCATTTAATTCCACCCCCACTGCCACAGGCAGGGACACCTTCCACTAGACCAGGTTGTTCCAAGCCCTGTCCAGCCTGGCCTTGAACACTTCCAGGCATGAGGCAGCCACAGCTTCTCTGGGCAACCTGTGCCAGGGCCTGACCACCCCCACAGGGAAGTGAGGGTTATCTTTTCAAGTGAGGTTTATTTTTTTCATCTCTCTAGCTGAATCATGCTGTCAATTTTGTGGACATCAATGGAAGATGCAAACAGGATTGAGTCTATTTTTCTTAAATTTACACTCTAAAAGGCATAATAAATCTGTTTTAAGGTCACTCTTGGTATCTTAGGATGGGCCCACATCTTTAGCTCCCCTACTAATACAGACACAGGACGGCATAGGATTCAGTAATGCAGGGAAGTAAGGGAGTTACAAACCACTACAAAGAAAAGGAAATTTCTTATCCAGGCAACTGTGCTCCTGGAAGAAACAATGGACACAGCAGAAAACACCTGCTGTCAGCAACTGCAAACACAGCGTCGTGCATGGAGATGGTGGATACTCTCAAGAACAAACAGGGTCTGAGGCTGTTTAGGCAGAGAGGAACCCCTGTACTGCTCTTGCTCTTTGAGCAAGTCCATCAGCTAATTAAACAGACAACACTCCTGGGAGCCTACACTTCAGCAGCCACTGAGATGCCATGCCATTTTGAAGTGACCCTGGAGAGGAAAGAAAAAGCAAATCTGGTCTTCTAAGTGATGAACACATAAATCACCTGACTTACCTCTCAGGGATGCACTGCAGAACCCACCGCAGGTGCCAAGACTTGCCATAAGAGTTTTCAGTTTGTATTTCATCTATTCTTTAAATACCTCTTTGTTGTGCTTCACAAAGATACTATGGAGCAAGAAATAGCAACTACAGTACATAACTGACAGGCTAAAGGATAAACCTCAGAGTATAATCCATTCAAACCTTAAAACAGATGTACAGTTTTAAGATGCTCAAGCTGGAACTAATCTAATCCATTTTGTACTCCTACGGATAGTTCTCTTCCACAGAGAACTGACAACCATGTAGAGCCATCTCCCAGCAATACTCACTTTCTGGATCTTGACAATGATGGTTGTTTTCTCATTTTTGCCTACATAGTCAGATAGCAACTTTGTTTCTTCCAGCTGCTTTCCTGCCCACCATAACTGTGCTTCCGATTCTTTTATAACTTCAGTTCCAGCCTGTGACAAAATAAACAAGGTGAAGAGTCGGGGGATGTTGTTTCTTGCTTTTTTTTTCAAAACCAGATTTTTTTTCTGAGGGAAAAAAAAATATCTTTCTGTAATTCCCAACATGAAATGTAATTTTACATTCTACTTCTACATCCTTCTCCTCATACTCATCTATGTTTTTTTATTTATATTCCATTCAATCTTGATCTAATATAAACACTTTGGGCAACAAATTCTCCACACTGGAGGTAAAAACAACCTTCATAACAATAACAAAATAATAAGATTAAGTAAATAAATATTTAATTATTTAATAATAATTGAATTATTCAATAATAAATAAACAAAACAATAAGATGAAGAACAGCATAGCCCATGTTTAACCCAGGACTACATATAATAGGAATACATTACTGCATACATGAGTTCCTGACAAGTCTTCTTTATCTTCGAACTCCATCCTAACTGGATCATGTGGAGGCAATCCCATTGGATACACAATCATCACAGCCCCTCGGAGCTGCTCCAATGCGTCTTTCACCATCTCCATGTTAACACACACATTGGCCTGAACTTGTTTCTGAAACACAGACAGGGATCATTGGCAATACAAGCAAACCTGCAGAAAGACTTTGCTTTGTGGCCAGTTCAAAGGTTAAGTGATGGGAGATCTGAAGAGCTAACAGGCTGCACAAAGGTATTATGAGTGCAAATTTTCTCACTGGAATACTGACTTGGGAGTACATCTCTCACTTTTGGCCCCTCTGTTTAGCCTGCTTACATGGGGTGGGAGAGGAAACAAACAAGGGAAGTCACTAAACTGTGCAGAACACAACTGCCTGTGGAACACAGGACTCAAACCAGAACACATATGACCACAGATGCCAGACAGGGACGCTTTGGCTCATCACTTGTGACTCATGAACATGATTCAAGCCAGCAAAATTCAAACAAGGGATGGGGAAGAGACTTAAAACTCGAGACAAAAATAGAGCACATGCGAGCAGAAGTATAAAGCTTGGCAAACTGCACAGCTCATGCAGAGATCTGTAAGACCAAGTACTTGAGATCATTGCAAACCCTATGGCAAGAATAAAAGAGGAACATGACACATCTGGAAGACAAGAAATAAAGGTCTTCCCTACAGATTTAACAGTTTCTTAAGTACTAAGGTAAGGGAATGTTGCCTCCTTGTGGATGTTCTTGATCTGGTTAACATGCCACTACAACCTCAAATACACATTTCTTCTTTTTTTTCATTATAAAGTGGTGAACCTAACAAACCACTTCCCAAACTACCCTTAACTCCATTCATAAATGTTACTAAATTTGTGTTTCAAAGTCATACAAAAGCTGAAACACAACACAGAGCACCTACAGATTTGGCAATGTGAATTTGAATGCCTGAGAGCACCGTCCCATCAGGGCAAACCTTGTGCTTGTTTTTGAAAACACATACTCAACAGAACTGAGCATGACTCCAAGTGCTTGTCAAACCAAGGCCCAACCCCTGCCCCATTCCTGGCAGTGTTCAAGGCCAGGCTGGATTGAGCTCTGAGCAACCTGGTCTAGTGGAAGGTATCCCTGCCCATGGCAGTGGGGTGGGACTGGATGAGTTTAAGGTCCCTTCCAAACCAAACCATCTGTGATTCTGTGATCATCTAAGAGATTAGAACATATTTTTCAATTAATTACACATAAAAGTCAAAAGACTTCATTAACTCCAAAAACAGCACAGAATGTGGTTAATTTTTCACCAGAAAGCACGACAAGCATTCACCCAAAGAACACATCAATAGCAAACTGCAAGGATAAAACTGAATGTGATTTAATCGTTCCACATGGGCTTGGCTGTCAGCATTCCCTTGGAGTTTAGTATCTGATTCCTTAACCTGTTGAACCACTTGCCAAAACCTTGAAGAAAATCATTAACCAAAATGTCAGGTTTTATGAGGCTATTCACTTCCTGGAATTTCTCAACAACTGTGAGCCCTTGCACTGAAAAAAGTCTGATTTTTTCAGATGCCAAACTCCACAGCACTTTCTAGGAAAGCCCCACAGACCACTTGAGGAAACTCACCTTTGAGATTAATGCCTTGGCTTCTTCTATTGTCTTCTTTATAACTTGCTGCATTTTTTCATTTGGAGCTAAAAGTAAGAGACATAGTTCATAGCCTACACTTACTGTAAAGAAACCAAGCACACATTCTGTCCAGATTGCACTGTGAGCAAATGAAACAGTATTAAATCATAAAGCAGCAGAAATACCACTAAGCTGCAGCCAATTTACCAGCTAGATCACTCATTCCTGTATTTCTTACTTACTTAAGAAACACGCAGTACTTTTCACAGAGAAAACAAACTTACTTTTCCCAAAGACATGTGACTGGTATTTGCCCCGTTCTTGGAAGTGTTTCAGGCCATATTGGACAGGGCTTGGAGCAGTGTGGTCTAGGGGAAGATGTCTTTGCCCATGGCAGGGGAATGGAAGTGGATGAGCTTAAACATCCTTTCCAACCCAAACTATTCTGTGATTCCATGATCTGGAACTTCATTTGAGACAAAGGTCCTCAGTAGAAAGCAACAACCATAATCCCATACCCTCCACAACAAACCAAGTAAAGCTCCTTCCCTGCTGATCTGTACTGGCAGACATGCTTTAACTGTGCATAACAGTTTGCAGTTTTCTGACTTTTCTAATTAATTAATTCTAATTAAAATCTCAATCTAAGTGAAGACAGTTCTGCAAACATGCTGTACATTTCATATCACATATCTATTTTAATTGCTATAAAAAGCCTGTCCTCAAAAACAAAAATCTAGCTAAAGCATACTCATTCCCATCTTATATCCCATCTGAGTGCATCATTTGATGACATTTGGTTCGTCACTGTTCAATATTCTAACTTTGTCAATATCACAAGGCTGTCCTCCACTTACAAACACATGCTCAGTGAATCTGAGTCCTAGTCAGTGAGAAAAAAGGAGAAATATTAGAAAAAAAAAAATCTGTTGATGTATC